GAATCCAACAAATGAACGGCACCATCTTCCGATCCTGTGGCTATTAAACACGCGCCCATTTGTGGACAGAAAGTAGATCTCAAGGGATATAATCTACAAAAAAATACAACATACAGCATTATATATAGTAGTAAGCAAAAAAAATTCAAAGTTTTTTTACATGATAAAAATAATACCTGTGTTTGATAGGATACTTTCTCCAAAAGTACAAAGAACCATGATTGTTTGCAACACGATATAATAGTACGGCATTGCATGCGCTGCTTACTAACAAAGCAGCCCAAGGAGCATCCTTTGATAGCCAAGAACGCCAGGAGAGACTGGTTATCATTCCACCAATCTCTTGCACTCTTTGCAATTTTGTCAACCGTCCTATACCGGATTCCAGTCGAAAAGCCACTATAACGCCTCTGTCATTGCCTGCCCAGATCACCGAACCACCGCTGCCCTCGCATGCCAGGGAAAGAATCTAAAAACGCGACACAACACAATTTGTACGTTTGCTTTTTAAAGCGCTTTGTTTCTCGAGACAAAAGACCTTCTGACCTTCCCACCAATTTTGCGGGATCCACCGCGCGTATATATGCCGGTAGATACATTCAAAATTTGGATCAATCCTTGAGAATTTCCAGCTATTATTAAGTTATTATTGGCAGGTATGAAATTGCAGCAGAGAACTTCTGCTCGCTGTTGATCGTCCACTACTCGCAAACAAATAGGCTCTGCATCCGTGCATACTCTCCACAGCCTTATTGTCGCATCCAAAGAAGAAGAAACAATCAGATCGTTGCTGATACTCCAATCAAGTGCAGTTACACCGTTACGATGGCCCTCTAAAAGAGCAATCACCTTCGGAGGTGTACTGACGACTTCACATATCGACAGTGTACCATCCAACGACGCGCAACATAATTTGGACCTATCATTATTGGCAAACTTGAGCATTGTTACAGCTGCCTTATGCTGATCAAAAATATGATGGACCCCAGCGAATGCAAAGTTCTCGGCTGTTGATTTTCGTTGTATATGCTGATGTCTCGTTCTGTTTTCAGATGATTCTTCACTTATAGTGCGACTTCCCACACTGTTTTGCTCCAATCTTTCTCCATAACGTCGCCGTAATAGTTCTGACCGTAATTTCAAGTATCGTGCACCAATCTCTGGATCTGTAGAAAATTTCTCGCGAAGCAGTTGATTTCTTCGACGAATGTATAACATACCTACAGCAGAAAAATTCAAAAATAAAACCAACTTAACTGATTAAAGTAATGTAAGTAAAAACGTTAAACATACCCAGACTGGGGAGCTTATTAGCTCGCAGTGTATTATACTTTGCGTCGAGTGCAAACACTTGTTGATGCCACGTAGTGGCCATCTTCTGCGACGTGCCAGTCTCGATGTTACTGACTTGTACTTCTGTCATTGATGTGTGTGCGTAACGTTTTGTAATATTTCACAAAAGCATTTCAAGAGACACACACCTTTCTATCAACTGCACGACGCGATTCGTGTATGTAGCGTAAAACTTCACATATTTTCGCAAGAAACGCAAGAAAGCAGTCACCAAGTAAAATAAAATAAGGAAATTGAAATGCGAGCGTGACCTTTTTTCGTTTCCACACTTTATTCAAGATTAAATTTTAAATTAACAAATCGATCCTATTCGATTGTAAACGCGCTCACCGTATAATCTCTTCAGTCCATGACGTTTTACTTCTAATCTTCCTATCTTTCTCCTCGATTGTTTTAACAACCATCGTTCGAGAAGTTGTCATTCCAACTTTCCCAAATTTCGAGGTTATATATCCTTCAACGCTTCTTCGACTTTCAGCCATGTTCAGATTCTTCGTTCTCGAATCGATCAACCGATTCGAGCGGGCCGCGAATTTCAAAATAATAGTAGATATTTTATGGATGGAGTAACTTTTATAGTAATTTATAAAGGAATTTTATGTTATTAGGAAAAAGTTATTTTAAAGAAATCGAGGAATCGCGTTAAACGAACGGGAACATAATACAAACATTTGTACCACGGATATGTAAATCGCCAGACTTCTTTAATACATTTATTCTTATATATCCATATTTATACACAGTAGTAGCTATTATTATTATTATTATTATTATTAATCATATAATAGTAATAGTTGAGTAATGCATATATCGTGCATTCTCTCTCGCTCGGTTAATATTTGACAAAAATACAAAAATTATTAATGTATAATTATATGAGAACAAACGTGCTTAACTCTGAATCTTATCTCTCGCTTTTTCTCTTTTTTTTTTCTTCGTTTTTAATGCTTCCCCCACTATATTTTGCATCTTTTCCCATCACTTTCCATTATACATTACACTTAGTATACTTCTTTTGTCCTAAATTGATTCGAGTATACACGATGAAGTCTGAGAGTCGACTATAAAACATACACTAAGAGAGAGATAGAACGAAAACGTTACTTGATTCTCCCAGTCGTTCATCAATCGCTCTTTCGTTGATGCCGACTGCGTGTACATTTGAACGCGTATTTTAACTCGTAATAAGTGGCTATAATAGTCCACATTCGCGGGACTACAGCGAAGTCAATGTAATCCAATTTTCTCTTCTTTTTCTTTCTTTCGAGAATTTATATGAGTACAGATTTACACTTTTCTCCGAAAAAAAAGGAAGTTAATCTACATTTGGTCTTCCGATCTTTTCAAAACGCATTCTACTCATACCGCATTTTTTATGTATATATTTATATATATACGTTTATGTATTTATATATTTATATATGTATATATATGCAGTCGCTAACAAGAGTTTACTTACAACTATTTACCTCTCGCTTTTATATTAGCGGTAAAGCTTTGTCGACCATCGGACTTGTCGGTCCGTAGTGCTAGAAGAAACATTATTCCTCACGTTTATCGCGTACACGCAAGTCGTAACAATTCTCACAGCACCTTTGTGAAAAACAATTCACATACATTTATTTCTCTCGTTCGTTCGACGTATTTGCTTTGAACTTATTCTCGTTCTTCTTTTTCTCTCGCTCTCTTTCTCTCTTTCATCAAAGAAATATCTGCGATCATTCATTTTATTCACAATGCAAAAATGTAAAGTATATCTTCAAAATATGTATGTTCCATTGTTGGTCAATATATGTGTATTATTTCGTTCCGATTAATATGTATATAGCTATACAGTTCGCGCACCTCTAATCAGCATGAATAATGTAATATTAACGAATGTGTACACCAGACGGAATCGATAATGGCTTCTTTTCTTTCTTTCTTTCTTTCTTATTACAATCTCATAATGAAAAAGATACAAATATCGCAGTTAATCAGTGTGTGACTGCACATACATCGTTACTAATATATGCTCAGTCGTCTCAATAATCGGTCATGTCAAGTCTCGTCTTCATTTTAATCGTTCATGATTTCTTAAACAAATTTTAACTGGTCTCTACTAGTCTACTGCGTATACTATATAGATAACGAAGAACGTGTACGATTGTTTCTTTTTGCAATGAAAAACATCACATGTCATCTCTCAAGCGTGATCACGCACGTGCTTTGCATCACGTATTCTGCATCACATACTCTGCTCTGTATCATGAGCGAGAGTCAAATATGCGGTTATTTTTCGAGCAAATTGAAAAACTGCAATTTTTGATTTGATAACGTCATTGACGATTTTCTGCAAAAATTTGGAGACACAATAAAGATTAGAACTTGTTAATCTAACGGGAACAGATTCTTTCCTTGAAGAAAATTATCAATTTTCTTTTTGGTATATGTAGGACTTGCACTAGTATGCCAAATGACAATCCGTAACGTTTTCATATATGTCAACACTGTCCAAATAATCTCTTAACAGTAATCATATATAGAATTTTAAACATAATTTGTATCAATTAAATGTTTCATGATATCTATAAATGCCGATCTAAATTAATAAACGAAAAATATAGTAATATTTCTAATTTGAAACGTAGACTACTCTTTTAATCCATAATTCAAGAGATTCTGATAGAATAAAATGTAAACGTAATCATTATCAATCTTATGAAGACCTATCATTTTATTTCGAATTTAATCAAATGTACGGAGACCAAGACAAGAAGTAAAGATAGGTATAAAAATAATAAAAGAACAGAGCACTATTTTTACTACATATTTGTGGCATATTTGAATTTTTTAACTACACTTAGAAATAATGCGAGTTGCATATATAGTTTTCCATTTTTAACCGAGATTACATGTAATAATTTTAATGCAGTATGGAATAAACGTCATATATGCATATTAATAAGGAGTAATAAAAATCATTACTAATCACAAAGATGCGTAACGCGATTAAACCAAGTGTATGCGAGTGCAACAATTATACTTTTCACAGGATCGTCGCTATGACGAACCATACTGAAAATAAAACGCTACAAAACGCGATAATAATAAATTTATACAAACGTACGTACGTTTCACGTACATCTTTATTTTCGCCCCTTTCACGAAAACAACTCTATGCTACCTCACAAAGATACGCTTTTCATTATTTATTGCCAAGATGTTTACATACACGAGAAAAAGAAAAGAGAACAATATAAAGACACACTATTATCACCCTATAATTAGCAGTCAAATATAATACGTTCGAAATTGCACTGTAATGTACAAACGGGAGATCTGGTGCGAACTCGACCGATGTTATTCTTCTACTTTCTTTTCCGGTGCGTCATACGAGAAGGTCGCGATACTGGCTTCGTCATATCCTACGACGTACCAGACTTATCATGAATTTTATGACATGGTCGCGTCACGGAATTCATGAAATCTACACAGACGATAATCCATCTTTCGCAATCCATCGCGTTATAAACGCTACAATTTCATTTGGCACGAGTGCAATTCACAGTTAAGAAGGAATATGCAAATTATTATATATAGGATTTGCACGTATATCACATAAAATTCAAAAAATTATTTTATTGTGATATCGCGCTCTACGCCAGTCTCTTGGAGAAGTTTGCGAGTGTGCTGAACCGAACAAATAAATTATCAAGTACAAGTGAATGTAGTATACAGCATACACATGGGAGGAGGGGGCGAAAATTGGTTATTCATTACCATTGAAGGAAGCATCTGGTCAATAATTGCATATACCTTTCAATTTTCAAAAGTATTCACCCTTCATTTCACATTGACTCGTGTTATTCTCGAAAAAAGTAAAGTCTCTCGTCTATCAATTTATGCGTCATTTTTAACTAATGACAACGTCAAAGTCTCTATGTCACACAATCGCGTTTCACAACAAAGGACGATTTGTTATTCTATTAATAAGATGTTATATTCTTACTTCGTCCTTCCTTTGTGTCGCGTTCAAAACTTTGTCTTTTGTTTTTCGTATTTAGTTGCTACCGGTCCAGTAACTAGGACTGTATCCAGGCTTCGCTTGAGCTTTGTTTTGCGAACTCGTGTTGGACCTTTGGTTGCCGCTGTTGCCGCCATCCTGATGAAGTGGCTGATGTAGCTGATGTGGTATAGTCGGGATAAATAAGTGTGGGCCACCGTAACCACCGGGCAAACCAGCATTTTGACTACCCGTAAGACCGAATGGTGGTGGCGTAGCCGAGTGGAAAGTCTGTTTTTCGTAAGACTAAAAGGATCGATTGAGTGAACATACGTGCGTAATATATAGAGTTTCGAACAACGATTACTATTGAGTAATGTTACTTACGTTCACTTTGCCAAGAGCAACATGACTCTTAGCGTACATCGTAGCGCTGATATCTGTTGCGGAAGAACCAGCGGTATTAGTGTTTCCCGTGGATGTGCCAGTTTTACCAGTTTGAGTTCCGGTGTAACTGCTACCGGCCCCCTTATATTCTCCAGACGGACCAGCGGAAGCCAGTGCATCGTAGCTCGCACCAGCGCCATAACCAGATCCATAGCTACCCGGTTTAGCGCTGTACGCGCCACTATTCGTCCCAGCGTTGCCAGCCGTTGCTATTTGCTGTAATACAAATCGGCACAATTTTAGAATTCGTTGGTCCCTTTCAGGAAGAGCCACAAACAGTAAAGTACTTGACGGAAGCGCAAAACTCACCGGATAAATGGCAGGAGTTCCATATTGAAAACCTCCCGGCATAATCCCACTACCGTAAGTAAATGCGTATGCGTATCCCGGAGGAAGAGTAGGATTTATCATCGGCTGTTGATGCTGCGTAGCAGTCTGCAAATCCCATAAGATTTGAAAATTGTTGATATTACGGTTTTTTAAGCGACGACTCTAAGCTGGTCGACGAAACTCACCTGCTGCGACATAGTGGAAGGAACTGGCGATGCGTTGCTGTCATTTCTGGCAAACCTAGCGTCGCTAATACTGGTATAGGCTCCCTGGACTCCTTGGACACCCTGTACGCCTTGCACACCAGATAGGGCATCACCTCTGCCACCACCGAGACTCGTAGCGGGACCAGTCGTCTGATAGCCCAGAGCCGCGTCATAGTAACCAGTAGTTGGCTGCACGTTAGTCAGGAATGCCAAACACAAAACTACATGCATACACTGTGTACTCCAAATACAAGAGAAGGCTAACTAAATTTCTACGCGTACCGAGCTGGGACAAGTAACATGCGGATTGGGTCTATTGCTATGTGTGAAAAGTACTTAAGGTACTCCCATCCGACTTAAACCGATAGATAGAGCTACTATTTATGCGTACAGTCGCAATACACATACGAATACATTCGTTTCCCACTATCGGCACGCTTCCCATGTTTGTATAATCAAAAATATCCGAGTCAAACAACAAGCTAAGAAGTAAAACCTCCATCAACCATTTATATATAATATATATTACCACACGGAAATATAATGCACATTTTTCATATAATCTGATACGTGACATCATTCGTACACAGCCTACAATTAAGTCAATCAAGACAAAGAAGGAAGAAAAATAAGTCAAGATAGATCGGAGATCGAAACAAATTCGTAGTTGAAAAATATATTAAATAAGTTTCAGGAATATTTTTCGCAGTTTTCCATCGAAAAGACATTTTTGCACGAAGTAATGTCGAAAAGCCGATCTGTCTTTACTAATTATTCTATAACAAAACATCTTACTACAGAAAAATAAGAACGAATTTACGGTGTTGTCGTGAAGGCATCCATAAGAGTTTGAAACGTTTCGAAAAGAATATTGGAATTACGAGCAGCTACCAAGCAATAAAAAAACGATTACCTTAGGAATTTTCGTACTAGATAATAACATAAATAGAGTAAGCGCTTCGAAGCAGTATATATACCACATTGTAATAGCAATGTGTAATTGTAAGTAACATAATATATTAATTGTTTCAGTGTATAATGCCCCGAAGAAGCGTTACTCAGAGAGCAATGCATTTATATTTGAATGAATAGAAGAATAAATAAATTGAACCAGATCGAAAAATAACTGACCATATGTGGTATTCTCTGTTGTACAAGTTGTATATCTTCGTAACTGTACACGGGTTGCTGAAAAGCTGCATATGGTACACCCGCTTGGCCCATGATATACTGATGACTAAGCATCGGCGTCATACTTCCGGCTGCGCCACCGCCTGTCATATTGCCGGTACCACTGCTACCCGTCACTACTCCACTTGATGTGCTTTTTGGAACAGCTGAAAATAATACATCTTTTTGTTAAAATGGATTATTCCATTTGATATGCTGAATTGCTAAATCCTAAAGCAATCATTTTTTAAGGAAAAAAAAAAAAAAAAGATACAACTCTTGTTAATTCCTTGTATAGGAATTTTTAATGGTAAAATATTCATTGTGGTAAAACAGTACTTTGTACTCTGTTCATTCGAAAACTTCAAATAGAAACAAAACAAAACAAAATTTATTTTTTGAAAATTTACTAACCATTGGAATTCGTCACTTTAGTCTGTGAACTATTAACTGACGTCGAGGTGAGACCCAACGTTGGTGCGCTAGTCGTCGCGAGAGAACTGTTTGACGTTGTTGCACTGCTATCGTACTGTGAATCCTTCGTCGCAGTGCTGTTCAATTTGTGATTGTGAGACGCTGCCTGCGGTTGGCTGGCATAACTACCGTATGGATTTGCGTACACCTATCAACATTTTAAACATAAACTTGTTTTATCAAACTGTGTAAGCTATACCAAAAGATAAAGCAAAAATTTGTACTAACAGACTGCGTGGCACTCTGATAACCGGAACTTTGAGTTATTGGAGACGTAAAGGTCGTAACTGCTATTGAAGACTGATATTGAGGCTGGTAAGTTTGATATCCCGCATTACTGTTTGATACTGTGTTAGTAGCCTGCGCTGGATATTGCGATGTTGTAGCCGGTACATATCCGCTTGCGGATGGATAAACCTACAAAATAAAAATAATTTCAACTTTTGTTGAGAGAAGCTGTATTAATATCTCTGGCACAATTCTTGGTACGACGGAATTGTACCTGACTGCTAGTGGTCGGCTGGTTGTAACCGGAAGTCGCGGACGCCGATGCGGAAGGAGAGGGTTGACTGAAGTTCGACGTGTTGGATTGCGGAAACGACGTCGAAGAGTTGTAACTCGCCTGTGAAACTGTTACCGTCGCAGAATAACTACTCGCATTGGCGCCTGACGCATTTTGGAAGCTAGACTGAGATTGATTATTAGTCGAATATGCATTGTAGGTACTTGGCGTACCACTCGACGGCTGGAAAGATGATTTTTGCGACGACTGATAGGTCGTCGTACCACCGTACGTCGGTGCATTTCCGGGTGAGACTTGCGATGTGAAATCTTGCTTGGTTATGTCCAAGCTTTGGCCACTACTGCTTCCACGAGTGAAACCTTGGGAACTAATCGTATGCTCATTGGATGCTGGCAGAGTGTCGGTGCTCTGTAACTGAAAGTATAATTGTAACCGTATGAACGACACGTGTACAAATAACTGTAAACAACGTAACAAAAAAGTGAAACTTACCATCTGTGAGCTGGCGTTGAAAGGTGTGGTGGAAGTCTGCGTAGTTTCGATGTCGAGCGAATTACTCGTATTGGCAGTGTTCGCAGTATTCGCACCGGAAGAAATGTCTACACCGGTGATTGTATTACTTGTGGAGTTATACTTTTCATTCGCCGAACCGTCAATGGAGCTGGAATCGCTACCGAATTCAAGCGCGCCAAACTGTACATCGAGGAAACCGATTCCGCTATTCACCGCATCACCAGGCATTTCTACAGCACTTGATGGTATTTTCGACGGTGGAGGTACTCTTGGACGTTGTTTCGTTTGTCTCTGAGGCTATAAATACAAGCGCATACTGATAATTTCAAATTTCAGATAAATTAACGTATTAAATACGTACAACTTTGAGAATTTACAAAAATATAGCAATATTGCGATACCTGATTGGACATGGATGACGAAAACGACGTTTGTGCAGCTGCTTTTAAGTTTTCACTTGTCTGCTGAGTAAGTTGCGTCAGATATTGAGTTTGTGCCGCTGTTAGTACACCACTAATAGCGCTAGGTTGTGATAGTTGCATTGTCGGTAAGCCCAACACTTGTTGTTGGGCTTGCTGTTGAGGTTGTATTAAATTTTGCTGCTGCATTGTAGACATATCCGACAGTTTTGGTAGTTCCTATAAATCATGTAAAAAATAAAATTATTTGAATTTTTCAGCAAGATGTATCTAAAAATATTTATACACTGATAAAATTTTACCTCCTGCTGAAGCAGTGACAAATTAACCCCCTGATTGGTTTGCGTGGATGATATTTCCTGGGGCTTCTGTTCCTCCAGAACAGGCGGAGGCTCGAGGATGTTCGTGCTCGGGGTGAAGACTTTCGTATCTGCCAGAGATCCTGTGTACTCCTCGTTATCCCAGTCTTCTGTAGAGTCCAAATTATTCCAAGCATCTATATATATATAGTTTATCGTATAGCTGTAATATATTTGATGTAATATGTTCGACATGTACGTACACATATGTACACGTGTGTGTACATAATGCATTTGATCGCAATGCTTTATATATAGGGTGTGGTCCACTTGACGCTACAAATGTTTCAAAGCTTTCGACTGACCAATCAGATAAAAGAATTTTACTAATTAGTAAAATCAGATAAAAGAATTTTACGAATTAGTAAAATGAGATAAAAGAATTTTACGAATTGATCAATAAAAAAATGCTTTGAACCTTTGTAGCATCAAATGGATTGTATAACCATATACATGCCCCTATATGCATAAAATGCAAATAAATTCATTAAAGAAATTATTTTGATGATAATGTAAAATTAATAAAACATTTCTATAATGATAATTTCATAAAATGAGCATAATACCACTCACAGGTTCTTATTTGTGAGTGGTATTATGCTCATTTTATGAAATTATTGCTTTTCGAACAGAACCACATTTTTATGAGTTTTATATATTTCTATAATGATTATAGAAACATAATGTACATATGTAATAGTCAGTTTAGTGAAAAAAAAAATCATTTTGACTTGCATTTAAACTCAAGTACAGATAAAAACTCACCCATTTTTGGTTCTTGAATACTTTGTTGTTGCTCCTCACTACCTGTCCAGGTTTCAATGGGCCGATTAAAACCATGCGCAGTGGAGGCAGATGATGGATCGTTTCGGTTTGCAAATGTTCTTGGACCAAGACCTCGGCCCCCGCTACGACATCCGCGACCTGATCTTCCGGATCCACCTCTGCCTCTTCTGCTATAGCTGCCATCACGCATACCATCTTCCATGTTCCTCTCGTTCTCCTTATTTTCTCGTCCGCGCCCTACCCAAACAATTTTACAACAATTACAATTCATAAAATAACAAAGTAGGAATTTTTGTAATCTTCCTGCGCAATAAAAATCGATAAGAAAAAAAGATTATCTTCGATTATATGTCTGTTCTTAAGTGGCTCAAATAATAAAATTGAAGAAATTGATAAAAAAAATGTAAACTAACATCCACGATTGTCATGATTAACGCGGCCGCGCATACGCGGAGGACCACCACCACGTTGGTTACGTCGCTCTTCCCAATCGCCATTGTCGTCTTGTCCACTCGACTGATCTGTGGTCTGCTTGGAACCGCTAGGCTGACGAGGCTTCTTCTTTTTAACCTCCCATTCTGTTTTTACTCCTTCTAGAAGGTCGTTAACAGCGCGGTCCAAATCTCCATCACTATCGTGCAGAGCCATGATCACCTCATCTTCCGAACGTCGAGTCATATCCATGACCTGTTTGATACGCTCCTTCAGAACAGGGTCCTCACCTCCCGCCATTCTGGTATCGATGATTTGCGCGTTGCGCATTTGATTTGTGTTTTGCTATATAAAAATCGTTATAATTTTCTTTAGATCGTTTAACATTGCAGTATTATATATATATATATATATAGAAAATCTTGATAATAATAATTATTTTTATCAGGCTTTTTTTTATAAATTAAGGTACAAAATGTTACTGGCTGGAAACTTGCATGCCATTGTATATATTATACATATATTATATACATATATATTATACATCTTATTTATGTTTTAGTATACATGGAAAGAATTATTTCTTAAAATTTACCTTGAAAATATAGTTATGGTACAATACAATATTTTAAAGATTTTTACCATGCATTTTAGTAAAATGAATCAAACTTGTTTTATATTTTATTGTAGTTTTATTAATGAATATGAGAGATTTACATAAAAATTCTTCGGAATAATTCTTTCCATGCAGATAAAATAAATATTTTGTCAGAAATAACACTGTAATCTATCATGTTAAAAATATGTATTAGCTCATAGAAATTAATATTTGTATTACAGATTATGTTATAACAATGTAATGACTCAACTATAAAAGAACAATTGATTTGTAATTAGTAAGTGTCAAATGTCCCATACATGTTTTGTTTTGTAAGCAATACTAATTGGTTAAAAGTTTTCAAAAGAATACACATTATTGTAGTACAAAGTGTAATCCATCTTGGAAATGTATTTATTAAACCAATAAATATGTCAATATAAAAACATATTTGTTTCAAACCAACCTGAGCCTTGTCATGTTTGGTTGAATCTGATTTAGTTTGATGATGATGATGATCAGATTTGCCATGTTGTTGTGATTTATTTTTATTGGTGCCTCTTCCACCAGAGGACACCAAGGATTTGTTGCTTGAACTCATTGCCAACTAAAATCCCACGCACCTAAGCACTCACCGTATCACACTATATACACTCCCTATTTACAGTCTGAAACAGAAAACATTTGTTATTATAATGCAATAGTTTATTATTTATATAGACAAAATTGATTTCCAATAACGCAAATTGTATAATCATACAGTACTTTTAGAAACATTATTAATGAAGATACAAACATTACAGGAATGTTACGATCTGATCATACAGTATCTTGCCACACAAAGCAATTATAATTTGTAGAAACAAACAGAGAGTATCAACAATTAAATTATATTTACAAATATTCTAAAAATAATCTTTGAACATTCAACCAATGTTAACTATTTCTGTATTTTCTTTACTATTATTATGACTTGAATTACTTGAATTTCTACACAAATATCATTCTCGTACCAAATTATCATAAAATCTATGTGTAAAATGTACAAAATCTAGTTGTTCTCTTTAGATTTGTGAATTAATCTAACAAATTCACATCCTATGAAAACAAAGTCAGAATATAAGAAGTATCTTTATTACTAATATATTTGGAGATAAACAACAAAGCTCATTTGCAAAAAAAAAACTATAAACTTGTGTTAAATTAAAATTGACCAAACAGCTACTAAGGTTTTGCCGAATATCGCTTCCAAAGAACTAAAGATTTTGGTGAACTGAGATAAATTACGCTTGTAAAATACGTACTAATGAGAAAGCACCAGATTAGAAGCGTCTGATAACAATAAACGGAAGATGTGGGATCAGCCTCAGGGAAAATGACGAATGTTGAACGAATGTTAACGCTTATCACCTCAACAATTCAGGGAGATAGTCGCGTCGCACACGATGACGACGTTACGTCGTGGAGTACACGCGTGAAATGTCTCACGGGACGACTGGCGAGCCACGTCAAGACGATCGCGTGCTTCTGCGACGCGTGTCTTAAACGCAAATGCGTCAGGATACCTAACGGCGAGGCGAGGCTCGGCGGGAAACACACTTATACGTCGCGGAATTTTCCGTCGGAATTTTCACGGAGGAGCTTCTTGTTCCTTCGCGACGCGGAGATTCGATAAAAGAATAAAAATAAAAGGAAAAACACCTGGTCGAACGCGTCGGCGACCACTCGCACACCGTTGCACGCCGCGAAAAGCCGTGCGCGAAGAAGTGAAATAAGAGAGGGAGGAAGAGAGAGAAGAGAGAGAGAAAGAAAGATGCGGTACGGAAGGATAGGAGCTCACGCCAAGCTACCAAGCGACGACACGCGCACAAAGAACCTTCCGATAAGAAGGCGTGATTATTCTGGATTATTCTCGCAGGCAAGGATATCGTTCAGCAGGCCATGTGCACGGTGGACGCCATTTCTGGTATGCGAGAGGAAGGCTTGTCAAGCATCGCCGCGGCGGTGCATCAATGGATCCCGACGGAGTCTCGGAATGGCCGAGAGACGAAAGAATCTTTGCGTGTAACTCACGGCTGCCGTGGACGTCGTGCGGATGCTTTCGCAGGCGCGACGGGGAGCGGAAGCGTGCGGGAGTCACGGCACCTCGGCGCTTGGGGCCGCGGCGCGCGAAAAACCACGAGAAAAACAACAGATTTGCTATCGTACCTGGGTTAGTGCGCTCAAAACGCAGCTCGGTCACGTGACCGCAGGGCCCCCCTTCCCTGATGCACCAAGGCACCTACTAGTGCCCAACAGCGCAGCAGAGCGCAGTCAGCACCGCTTTTCCTCGCTCTTTATTGGGCTCTGCTCCGTGTAGCTCTGTGTGCGTGCGTGTGCGACGTTTCGTCAGACCGGCAATCGAAGCAAAAGTAAACTGATCCAACGCGCCACGTTTCATGGGTTTCACCGCCTGCTATTTGCGGAAGAATCGCTACGCGCGATTCCGGAAGTGTCGATATATCTTGATCACATGGAAACCGAAGCAAAGTTTATATCTCATTCGCGTTTGATGCTATAAACGAAATGAAAAGAAAGTTAGAAAAACATAATTAACCGTGTAAAGAATAGTTACATAAACGTAAAAATAATTTGGATGTTATAAAAGGTTTACTCTTTGCGTTCAATACGTCGTCCAATAGGAAAATTTATTTTCTAGAGTCTAGCCTAGAAATGTTTATTTCTATTGCTGGAAAATACTTGCATTAGCTGTGTTCAGCAGAAAAAGCAACTTTGCAACTGTTGTAAATTCTTGAATATAATTGTTTGCCGCAATATTTCCTGGATATATTTCTGTATTTCATTTATTGACTTATTGTTAGTTTACATCCAGCCGTCCAATCCCGATTCACTTCGAAGTGAAGTGAAATTTTTTGGATGTAAACGGATTAGTTTCGACTGATTTTAATCCTCTTTTCTCAGCGGAGTAGAGCGAATCCGGTGTAAACATTCCATAAATCCACTTCACTTCAAAGTGAATCGGGATTGGACGGCTGGGTGTAAACTAGGTCATTTATTGGATTGGCTGCGATACTGGCACTATCATCACCGCAGCCAATACGATGGCAAGATTCTCATCCCGCTAAAGGTGCTTTTTCATGCGCAGCACGCTGCAGCAGCAATTCGTTACTATTGGTTAAGAATTTTATGTAAGCTAGATGACGTACTTCCGGCGCAAATACATTTTGCCGCAGTTCGTTGAAGTTGAACCGAACGAACAGCAAGCAGCAAGCGGTAAAATCGAGAAAGCGTACAATATGTCCGTCGTTTCATTATAAAAATATTATTTATTGCAAAAAATATTAGGAAAATAAACGAAAAATGGCTTCGGATAAGGTACGGATACATGTTTGTAAATTAGATCATTTTATACTTTACCACAAATTTGAAAAAGTAAAGTGTAAAGTATAAAATGATCTAATTTACAAACATTCGTACCTTATCCGAAGCCATTCTTCGTTAATTTTCCTAATATTTATTGCAATAAATAATATTGCCTCGATTTTGCCGCTTGCTGCTTGCTGTTCGTTCGGTTCAACTTCAACGAACTGCGGCAAAATGTATTTGCGCCGGAAGTACGTCATCTAGCTTACATAAAATTCTTAACCAATAGTAACGAATTGCTGCTGCAGCGTGCTGCGCATGAAAAAGTACCTTAACAATCAAGAAAACAAGCATCGTGTGCTGCTTGCTTTAAAGTGCTATGGTAGAAGCATGTTGGAGCATATTGGAACAAGTGACGCAAATCTCTCTCCCCGATATCCAATAAAAGAATCTATCTTCTAGAGACAAAATGTTTCTAATTAAAAACCCTAGAAAGTCACCTTTCTTATTGGAGATTGATTGTTATATATCGAATGTTTTGCACAATAATTTGCATAAAAAAACAATAGTGCTGCGCCTCACCTCCAGAACCCGGAAATTGGAAACTAATCAAACTTCCTATAGTTCCGATGCTTCTGGAATACACGGAACAACGGAACAACGGGCAGATCAGGGCAGATCGGAATCGGAACTCCGTAGACAACGTAGGGGTTATCCGTGTTCAGTAAAATATCTGTTAATTATATCGGAAAAGAATTGTATTGAATAGTATCGTGTAAATGCGAGCGACGACGAACATGGACTTGAGTTGCCGCAATTCTAGTATAAGTGCCGATTATTTGCTCAGTCAATTGAATACAGCTAGACAAGAGATTAATAATCTGAGGTATTGTCATAAACGTTCTCTTCATTTCTCGATGTAGCATATATAACGTCATTTTTTTCTTATTAACTTTTTTTCAATTATAGTATTCACATAATATTACATGTTTTGTATTTAATGTGAAATATTTTGATATAAAATGTTAATTATGAAATAATTGAATAAAAAGGTAAAAACAATTACAATCTTGTAAACTCTAATTTACTAAGGAAACTTTGTGAATAATAGTTTGATTTTATATTGCAGACAACAAGTAAAAAGTCTGAGGTATATACTTGATAAAGATGTTGATAATATCAAACGTCTGTTGGAATTACAAAAACATGGAGGAGTCCTACCACAGTCTAAACTAATATCTTCGGAAGAAGCAAAGCCTGGCACAAGTAAAGATCAAGATGTTCTTAAATTAAAACCTATTGGTGTCATTTCGACCTGGTTTCCCAACAAAAGGGCAACTCCTAGACAACCTGGCATATGTGGAAGAGTACCAGGAAAGTTGACGCTTTACAATTCTACATTTACCAATCCAGATCATGCCTTACAGGGCTTGCAGGATTTTTCCCATATGTGGTAAAATAACTTTAATTCTTGAAAACAATATAATTTTAATGTTTTTAATAAAATTGTAACTAATATTCTTTTTTTTTCTTTCCATTAGGATTTTATTTTATTTTCATAGAAATGATTCGACACATACTCGTGCAAAGGTAGCACCACCAAGATTGAATGGAATAAGAACCGGTGTTTTTTCTACACGTTCTCCACATCGACCATGCCCTATTGGCCTTAGTCTGGTTAAGATACTAAAGATTGAAAATCATACAATTTATTTTGAAGGTGTTGACATGATCAATCAGACTCCTGTACTAGATATAAAACCATATATACCACAGTACGATAGTCCATTACATATCGAAAAACTAGGCAATAGACTAAGAGAGAATAACATCAATGCCTCAGATGTATTTCACAATATGGAAGAAACCCTCAACTTGAGTGAAAGTCAATCAGTTGACCCTTTTAATAATGATACAGACGTCAACAGTGATGAGCAGACTGAGCTTGATATTTCCAAAGATGAGGAAATAGCTATGAGACTTCAAGCAGAAGAATTTCAAGCTTATCCCAATCTCAATGGCTATGATATTGCGGGACAACAATCTTCCCAATTAACAGAAGTTCATGCTAATACTTGGTTACAAAATGATGTTAACGTAGATGTTCATAGAGGAGCATATTTGATTCGAAATAGAATGTCTAACACAAGATCAGACCTGGATTCACCCATCGAACATAATGCAACTTTAATAGCTGAATCACAAACGGACTCTATTAGAGATTTAAATAGTAGAGTACATAGAATAGATATAAATAATTCCAGTAATGCAGATTCACCACGAATGGAAAGAGATACCGATAATGAAATTAATTATACTGAAAATCAGACATTACGCAATTCTAGATTATTGGATGGAGCAGATGGACCAAGCACGGTATGTGGCACCGACATAGATTTAGTCAATCGTCATGTATTACATGCGAGAGTCGATAATTCTCCTGTGAGAATGGGAATACGCGAAGCACCCGATGGTGAGGAAGGACTCGAATCTCAAACTTTGACGCCCTCGCGCACTTTACCGGATATTCACGCTGCAACAGCTATATCATCTGCGTCAACGAATACAACGGAGAGTAATTTTTCTGAGATAAGAATACCTGACTGGATTTCGCAGCCTCGTACAGCAACGTTGTCTGTAATTTTCAACGAACGCGCTTTGATGCAACTAAATGAAATTTTAGATGATAAAGTTGACGAGCAAAAACAAGCCATAGAAAATGTACTAAGGGAAGATCCTCGTTCAGTGTATTTAAGGCAAAGATGGGGGGGTAATCAATTCTATACTTTTTTAATACATGATCTGCACATTACGTGTAGGTTTGATGATAGTAGAGGTATTGTTACTGTATTCCAAGTTCGACATGCAGGTCGCACTTGTGATTGCGGTGAACCAGAATGGCAATGTTTGGGACATTCTCCTTTATCTTAATATGTTGTATTAATCGATTTGAAAAAAAAAGTATAAATAAATAAGGGAAGAGAATGATAAAATTCTATCACTATGCGTCACAATTTAACATACAAAGTAGCACAATTGTTATTTATTTACTCTTATGTTTTTAAAAACATTTTGATCTTGTAAAATAATTTAATTTTTTTGTAACAACTATATATTGTATTTAATTGATAAGGCATTTGTTATAAAAATTGAAAGTAATTTGATAAAACATCTCATATTTAAGTATAATTTTAATGCAAGTATAAAAGTTCCTACATTTTGTTATTATGTGCAATTACAATTTATGTAATTATATTTATTACAAAGGGAATTTATATAAAATAAAAAATGCATAAAAAATAACGTGTATTTTATTTCACATAAAATTAGAGGAAAATGTTTTTTTTCCGCAACAGCAACATGACCTATAAGACATTCTGAACATCATACGTGCATTTATGTATACATTCGTATAGTAGAGTCGGCACCAGTGGAAAATACCCATGGTTCAATAGGATGAAATATAACATCCAAAATACCAAAATCATTATATGATTCGTGATTACATAATCTTTTCAATGGCACAATTAATGGATTTTGTAAAAGATCACTGGAAAGAAAAAATATAAGTATCATACATTATATGTATAAAATTAAATATTCTAATAAATATATATATATATATATATATATATAGATATTTTACTTGTAAACCATTCCATGAGATACAATTAGTGCTCTATCGTCACCTCCTGAAGCAAACAGAGGATATCGTTTGTGAAATGCTACGGCACGTACGCCAGTTCCATGTAATCGCAATGTTTGATAAGGCTCTTTACTAAAATCTAA